AATATCTACCTGGAGGGAAGAACTTCCTTGCAGATGCCCTCTTGCATGCCGTAGTACAATAACGTCTCAGAAGCAGTAGTGACTTCCATCATCCTATCTAGACAGCACACAGCGCCAGCCATCAATCGGCAAAAAGCAGCGTCCTGACCGGAGTCAGCCCAGGGATGTAGAGCAACCCCTGAAAGACACCCTGGCAAGAGACGAGTGGTTCCAGCAGCACAAAGGCAACATGTCCCTGAAGGAAGGGTTGGCGTAGAAAGGGACAAAATTATATGTCCCAGCCAGCCAACAGACCTCAATTTTGCAGAGGAGTCATGACACAAAGGCAGCAGGACATTTTGGGTTCATAAAAACTCTTCACTTAGTGAAGAGTGAGTTCTGGTGGCCAAAGCTGCCGTGTGTGCTTCAATGAAACGGCTACCTGGTCTATTGCAGCCGATCTAATGAAGCCCTGGGAAGAGATCTCTATGGACTTTATTGTGAACTTGCCGGAAAGTGCAGAGAATACTGTAAACTGGACCATCACAGATTTTCCAAGCAGGCACATTTTGTAGGGTGCCCGAAGATTCCCTCCACCCGGTCCCTGGCAAAGATGTTCATGCAGCATATCTATCGGGTTCATGGAATCCCCAAATGCATCATTTTGGACTGAGGGGTGCAGTTCACATCAACATTTTGGCGGGAATTCCTCAACTTGATTGGCTCCTCACAGGGCCTTAGCTCCACCTATCATCCTTGTACCAATGAAGCCTGTGAATGTACAAACGTAGTTTTGGAGCAGTATCTGAGGTGCTACATTGACTACCAACAGCCCAATTGGGCTAAACTGCTACCCTTTGCAGAAGTGGCATACAATAACTCCGTGCATAGTACTACAGGGTTTACCCCTTTCCAGGTAGCTAGCGGAGTAGAGTTTGTGCCCATGCAGGAAATCCTGCAGGGGCAGCTGTCCTCAGCATCCTTGGCTGAATGGATGGAAACCTTAAAGGAAACATGGGTGGTGGTGTGCAGGGCATTGCAAAAAGCTAGGGAAACGCAGAAGAGGCAGGCGGACAAAAAAAGAGCCCCACCGGGGGAGTTCAATGTGGGGGATAAAGTATACCTGTTTACCATGTTCGTTAACTTGAGGCAGCCTTGTAAGAAGCTGGGCCCAAAGTACATAGGACCCTTCCAGATTATCTGGATCATAAATCTGGTTACTGTAGAGCTGCAGCTGCCAAAAAGTCTCAAGCATGTGCACCCAGTGTTTCACTGCAGTCTGTTGAAGCCTTTCTGTAGTTCGGAATTAAGACCTGCTACAGAGAAGCGTCCCCCTCCCATCCTAGTCAAAGGAGAGAAGCACTATGAAATCAAGGAGATTCTAGATTCCTGGCACCATAGGGGGAAACTGCAATATTTGGTGTTATGGAGGGCTATCCCTTAGCTGATGCAGAATGGGTAGCTGCAACAGATGTGAAGGCGGCTAGGTTAGTGCGTAGATTTCATGCTGAACATCCAGGTCGGCCCCAGTGAGGAGAGAGGCAAATAATGTGGTATGCACCTTTGTGTTTATTTTCTAGGGCTATCATTCCTCTGGAGGGTCAGCATATCAAAGCTGACTCACTTTCTTTGTTGCCTGCATCAACTTCCAGCTCACAGTTTGCCAAATAGAAATGAGAGGGGTTGGTAAATTCCTGGGGTGGGGGGACGCTAAGGAATGAATGAGAGCCTTCTGCCGCCGGAGAGGAGACACCCACCAAGGCCAAGTTCTTGGAGCTACCAGCCGGCGCAGAATGTTTTCCCAAAAGTACTGAGTGTAATTGGTGGAAAATGAACTGTGGGTAGTTCCAGGGGTGAAAAGGGGGTTTTACCTATGTGGGTTTTAGCGGAAAAACCTCAGAGCTGACTGCTTCTGCTGTGCCTAAATGGATCTTTCAATAAAGTTTTACTCTTGGTAATTCCTACATGCCAGGAGTTTCTTTTTTGGGAAGTGCCAAATGGGATGGTTTCTTTCTTATTCCTGCAAAAAGCAGGCCAGGTGCCCACCCCTGATCTATACTAAGGAATGAAGTTAAATGAAATGGCTGAGCTAATACAGACCAAAGAGAGGAATGCCTGATGACTATTTATGTACCTTGTGATGAGATCGGCAGCAAATAAATTTAATAAATGTAAGATAATTTATATGGCTGCCCAACTCACTCTCGGTGACTTACAAGGATAAAACCCCAATAGAAAAAGCAATACCCCCACCCCCCTGGTGACAACAGTCAGACAACCCACTTGATGGGCTCCGTATCACTCTAGGGTCCCCAGGCCTGTTGGTAGAAACATGTTTTAAGGGCCTTTTGAAAGGGTCTCAAAGTGGAGGCCAATCTTATCTCTGCAGGGATGATGTTCCACAAGGAGGGAGCCACCACACACAAGGACTTTCTTCTTGGTCCCACTAGATGGACCTCCTTGGGATAGGGGACCCATAGCATTCCCTGCCTCCCCGCTCTGGTGGGTCAGGTAGATGTGACCGGGGAAAAAACAGTCCTTCAAATAACCTGGTCCCAAGCCAGGTGAGAACCAGCACCCTAAATTGGACCCCGAAGCATATTGGCAGCCAATACAGCTCCTGCAGGAGTGCAAATACAAGTATGTGCAAATATAGGCTTTGAACCACCACATTTTGAATTAATTGAAGCTTCCAGATACTTTTCAAGGGCAGCCCCATGTAGAGTGTGTTGCAATAGTCAAGATGGGAGGTGACTAAGGCGTCGGTAACTGAGTAAGGATTGTTGGTCCAGGAAAGGGCATGACACACAACCCGCTGTTGCGCAAAGGCCCTCCTGGCCATGACTGCTACCTGCTCTTTGAGCAGAAGTCGTGAGTCCAAGAGAACTCCCAGATTATGTACTGGGTCTGTCTGGGGCAATGCCACCCCAACCAAGACCAGAGATGGCAATTCTCCATGGACCAAAGAACCCCAAACCCAGAGCCATTCCGTCTTCCCAGGGTTCAGTTTCAGCCTGTTGCTCCTCATCCAGACCTTAACAGCCTCCAGGCACGGCAAGGAGGTGGTCACGGCATCACTTAACTCACCATGGGGCTGAGACATACAGCCGGATGTCATTGGCATATTGGTATCTCAGCCAGTGGTGGCGGTGGATGTCGCCCAGAGGCTTCATGTAGAACTTAAATAGAAGACTGAACCCTGAGAGACCACGGCAAGCAGGAAACAAGGGCTGGACCTCTCACTTCTTATCAACACCAACTGAGAGTGACCACAGAGGAAGGAAGTGAACCAGGACAATGAAGTGCCTCCCACTCCCAACCCCTGAAGCTGCTCCAGAAGGATAGCATGGTCAATTGTATCAAAGGCCACCGAGAAAGCAAGTAGAGCGAGGATGGACGTACTATCCCCCATCCTGCCAGAATTAATCAAAAAGTGTGACTAACACAGTTTCCACCCCATATCCAGGCCTGAACCCTGACTGGAAAGGCTCCAGGTAATCCATTTCATCCATGAACCTCTGGAGCTGATGCATAACCACCTTCTTAAGAGCCTTCCCTAGAAAGGGAAGATGGGAAACAGGATGAAAATTATCCAATTATTTTTCTTACACAATTTCTTGCACCAGGTGTCCTCTATCACCCTCCTCTGCTTTTTTCCTTTCTATTATCCTAAACTGACTACTGTTTGAGGTTTCAGTGTGCTCGGGTTTGAACAAGGCATCACTCTCAATTTAGTGTCAATTAAACAAGGCTGAAAAAAGTGAGATAATCATAACTGATATGACTGATTAATATGAGATAACTATTAGTTAAAATAAACATATTCTGATAGATAATACATTCAAACAGGCATAAATTAAACAGCTGTACCCATTCACAGTCTTAAGTATTTAATTCAAGGAAAAGGTAGAGCAAATACCCAGTTTTTATGAGAAACCAAAGGAGATGACTTTATTATGGAGAAGACTAGATTGCAGCTAGGTGAATTTCATCATATAGTAGAAGACAAGACACAGAAAACCAGTCAGCATATTTATGGTCCTCATAATCCCCTAGCCTGTGTGCAGACAAAATGTCCAGTTTTTTTCTAAAATAAAAAGTTGGGAGAAAAATCCTGCTTTGCCTGCTTTTGAAGTGCAGTCCTCAACATGTTAAGCACATCTGATGCAGCCCAACTAGCACACTCCTGTCCTACAGGCAAGATGAAACTTGCAATGACTAACATGCCTGCATTGTTCAGAGAATATATAACCTGCATCATCATAGCTTCCTCCATTGGGGGGTGGGGGTGGGGGAGAAGAGGTGCATTTTAATCTCTGAATTTTAGTTTTTTCCTCTATTCCCTTTTGCTTTGAGAACTCATGCAAACTTAATTTTTTCATATCAATGAGTTCATAATGGTCCCAGATTTGAGATAGCAATAGCAATAGCACTTAGACTTATATACCACTTTACAGCCCTCTCTTAAGCAGTTTACAGAGTCAGCATATTGCCCCCAACAATCTGGGTCCTCATTTTACCGACCTCAGAAGGATGGAAGGCTGAGTGAACCTTGAGCTGGTGAGACTCAAACTGCCAGCAATCAACAGTCAGCAGAATTAGCCTGCAATACTGCATTCTAACCACTGCACCACCATGGCTCTTATTCCTTTTCCCTTTTCTTTTTCCCTTTTTAATAGCAGCCATCAAAACAAAGCACAGCAATATCTCCAATAACGGGCAGCATATCTGTAATATTGAGAATTATTTTGTGGGGCATCTCACAAAAATGGCTATCCTTCCACAAAATGGCTGCCATGAGGGACAAAACAGCTGAATGAGTGTAAATTAAGTCAGGTAGATTTTTAGCCTCACCTCCCTGCCATATACCATTTACCTGTCTTTTTTGTGGTCTCACTTCCAAAGTAGCAGCCTGCCACTGTCCTTTATTATCATCAGGAGGAGGACGACAATGGGACTGGCACTTTGCACTACAGCATGTCTGTCTCCCTTTTGTTATTTTTAATTAAAAGAAAATCAAATATGGCACGGGACTGACAGGCACCCAAAGGCATGCCTGTTAACATCACATTTGCACAGGATTTGGTGAGTCACTAGCCCAACTAATTGATGAGGTTTTACACATTATTTGTATTACGAGTAGCAGCATGCAATTTATCTGCACCCTGTAGAGACAGATATTTTCACTTTGAACACTGGACTAGATTTCCAAAAGTTTGAACAGGACTATCACATTGCATTTCTGAATGTGAGCAAATATATTTCCCTATCAACAGTGGGATTGCTAACTCCAGTTGAATCAGAAATCAGGAAACGGATTACTATTTGTCTCCAGAAAACATTTTTAATTCTTGCTCTTCCAGCTGTGCTTACCTGATCACACTTTTTGTGGTAGGCATCCTTTTCCTTTTGGGAAAGAAGTTTCCACTGCTGACTGCAGAGCACCATCCGTTCTGTACTTGGGACATCTTTCATGTTTGCCATCAGCTCAGCACAGTAAAGTGAGTAACTATTCCTAAAATAATAAGTTTCTTTATGTAGTACTGTTCCTTTGACTTAGTACTGGGTACACTCTATACCAGTGGTTCCCAACCTTTTCTATATCCCATAGAACGCTTCTGATATATTCTCGCACCCCTTACAAAAGTTCAAAATGAATTATGCATATACACAATAATTTTGAAACTTCCAAACCCAAGTTTTTGCACCCCCTGGAATATTGTCTCGCACCCCTGGTTGGGAACCCCTGCTCTATACTAAGCAATAGCATTCAAATGCCTGTGATAATATTTCCATGTCTCCCATGATAACCCTTGGAGATAAATTCCCACTTCAGCTACAAATGTTCACTTCAGGAGGAGATTCTCATAAATAATTTAAAATAGAGGTGCACTACTTGAGGCCTCAGAGCCACAGACAGCCCCCACCAAAGTCCTGAGTTCCCCCCTCCCTCAAAAAGATGTCAGCAAATTAATCAAACAGGAAAACTGTTAAAAATCAGGGAAACAATGCTGGCTGGGGAATTCTGGGAGTTGAAGTCTTCAACATCTTCAAGTGGCTGAGGCTGAGAAACACTGAGCTAGACACTAAAAATGAATGTGAGTACATGTACCTCAAAACTGAAAAGGAACAGATAGTTTGTCACTGGCAAATACATTAATTGCAACTACTGCAGAAAGAGGAGGAGGAGTGGAGTGAGGAACATGCATCCATAATTCTGCTTGCTTGCTATCTGAATAGCCTTTCAGAAGCCAGCTGGAATGATTTGGGATTTTTAACCTCAAAAGTTTGGAGAACAAAAGCTGGACAGGAACAGGAGCATCTGTTGCTGTACCTACATTCTATTGTACAGAATGGGACAATTAACTGTGGGCAAATGGCTGTGCCCACTTCACCGCAGGCCCTCTGCCGCAGCTGACCCATTGCGGGCATTTATCATTGGCTGGCCCTGACTTCCAGTTTGCCATTGCAGTTCTGGCGGATGCATGGAGGCGAGCTACGTCTTCAGCGTCCGGTTTTATCCCGCTGGGGGACCCTGGAAAGGGTCAAAAGTTGCCCTGTAGGGGCAACGAGCAAGGAGAGGACCCCCGCTTGATCGCAGAAGGGCGGCAGCCCTTCCACTTGATCTGGGGCAGCTCTTCAAACCGGCGGGGAAAAGACCAGCCATAGCAGTATGGCTCATCATTAAGCTGCTGACAGCCGAAGTCAAAACTACAACCAAGCACCTTTAAAGCAACGCGGATGAAACTGGGTGGGATCTGATCTTCTCTTTAAGACTTTAAATATTTTTCCTGCAAAAGCTGCCCAAAGTATTTCTCCCCATGTGAGGAGAGAGGGAAGGGAATTCTTACCCCACCCTCTAAGAACAGCGGCGATTGACTACCTAGGGGAAAAGAGCAATTATAAGAATAATTTTAATTTAATTGGATGCATATACCTTTGAAATTTGGAAAGTAAAAGTTTTCCTATTCTTACTGGAGATATTGGCTTTTATTTAAAAAGAAAAGAAACAAACCTTGAAAAACTATTATTAAAACTTGGGATTTAAAAAGTTTTAAATGGCACTGGTGACATCTTGTGGTGAAATATGTTATTACAATTTGTTATTGACTAAAAGAGCCTTGGCTAGAAGCCCAGAAATTAGAAAAAACCCTCTCGACCTTGACATACCACCTGTGAGAAACACAGCTGTAAAGAAGGAACTGCAAGGTGGTTTATCTGGCATGTTTGAACTATGAAGATAAACCTTTATTGACTTTCAGAATTATATGTGGGAAACTGTTTTCCTATTTCTTTACATGAGAAGTCTTTGTTACTACACAAGATGATGGAATACTTTGGACTATAAATTCTTATCTGCCAAACAATTTTCACTATAAGACTATTCGCAACACGTGAAATAGATGTCACACATCTAGCTACAAAAACTATTTTTAACATTTGATTTTAAAATCTTTAATACATTATCAAGAGAATATGGATGAAGATCAGGAAAAAATCCTTTCTATGTTGAAATCAATACATGAAACCACTCTTTCAGCATGTAACAAAATGTGAGGCAACATAAAGGAACAAGATGCCAGCTTAAATACACAGACCCAGATTTTGACTACAACCAAAGACCCAACAATGCAGAAAGCAACAGGAGAAATGGAACAACTAAATATTAAGACAGAGGACCCAACTGACCAACAGATCCAGCCAACGGGGAAATTAGAAAAGAGAGTGACAACATTGAAAATGGAAAATATTTTTTTCATAAATCAGAAGAAACTTGAGGAAAACGAAGAAGAACAGACTGAATGGAAGATAAACTTATTAGGACAACTGTGGGAAACTGGAATAATGGGGAAGCGATCAAAGAAATATAATGGGGTTAGTTCTTCCAAAAGAAATTGTAATTAAATGGTTTTTCTTAACTCAAATAATACAATAATAGAGGGAGAACTGTTTGATGAATTAAAAGTACTGACATGGATGGTTAGTTGGCAAAGGAAAAAAGCCAGAGTAAGGCTGAAAGAAACTAGGGTTTTGATTTATTAGGGGGGATTTTATACTATTGATTAGAAGGTTGAAGACGGTCGAATATAGATATTTTTTTTAGAAATTAAAGTAATATTACAACTGAATAGGTAAGATGTGTAATAAGATTAATAGATTTTTGGTTTAATATGGTGAAAAAAAAGAGAATTTTTAAAATAGAATAAGATTATATGCAAATAGATAAGATGTATATTTAGAATACTAGATTTTGTTATAAAAAGGGGGAAATGTAGAAGTTGAGATAAGGGAAACTCTAGTTACCTAAAGCTTAGAAACTATAACATACCAAATGTTAAGTTGAATATTGAGGGGAAATTAAAGCCTGGGGAAAAAGCTACAACAGGACAGTGATGTATATAAGATTGAATGTAAACACAATTAAGATATGTATAAGTTCAAAATTACTGATAAATGTAACAAAGATGGCTTTACTTAGTTGATAACAATAAGAATTATATTAATTCAATATGAGATAGTAGATATTAAGGGATAAAGAGAGGAAATATCTGATGTTGTAACTTGAGATTTTTGCTAAAGATTTATGTATGTTATGGAATCATTGATTACCCAGCCACCACGTTGCTTTTTAAATGTTTAACTGTAAAATTAGAAAATCGATAAAATATTATCATTGGCTGGCCCTCTGCCGGCGGTTTTCCCCCACCACTGGTCACCCGCCACTAGTCCCCTGCCCCGGGCAATTGGCAGAGGAACATCTCAACAAAACAATAGTTATAGTTAGTAGGATACATTTAGATTCATTCACATTTGGATACTAATTTATATTGGGAGACTGCAGCAATAAGAGTGTCTAGGGAAATACCCTCCACACAAGCTTGGAAGTATGACTGTTCATTATACACTACACCATAAATGATGGGTTAGAAGAAAAGTTGTGTTTTTGTTCCACCAGAAATAAAGGAGATTTATGTGAGAGCTTTCCTAAGCTACATGGACAAATGGGGCTTTATCCAAACTATGGTTCAGTATATGAAATGATCAAACAGAACAGTACTTTTCATTCAAACAAGGAAAACAGATTAGTTAAAGCATACTATGGAGAATTCAATTTTCCTAATTCATTTCTATATAGTGGGAGCCATTCCTCGGGGCATGGAGAAGATACAGGAAGACTGTCAAGATTTTGAAAGTGATTTCAATGTGGATAAACTTTCCCATTGATGGGAAGGGGGAATAAAACTTGGTTTCGCTGCTGGCTGGGGAATGATTTCTCTCGCTACTGTGTTCCTCGCTTGTGTGAGAAGTCACTCCAGTTTTCTCCCCTCCCTCCAAAGGTTTGATTCTGGTGCTTGCCAGGGTGGGTAGTTAAAGGAAAGTGCACGCATCGTTACTATCCCTCCTGCCACCAAATGGATGTAAAGTGGATCTCCATATTTCACCTGTTTTAAGAAATGGGAGAAGCCCTCCTTAATATTACCACCCCAACTTACGGAGGGGGCTTGGTGGGTCGTCCATCAAACTTGTCCTTCAACTGCCTCTCTGCTTTTGTTAGGGTGGACCGTGGTGGTGTCCCTTCCTCAATGTTCATCTCTGGATGCTTCTGTATGTAATCCCGCATCATTTCCTGGAAACAACAGAGGGTGGTTAACACAGCACTGAAACTTTGTGGAGAAGCCCTTCCTAGGCTCTAGGGTGATGGCGTAGGCAGAAGAGAACCCACTACTTGACCTTGACCAATTTTAACACTTAATGGATGAAGCAGGTGTTCCAAAGGTGCCTTTTCCAAAAGGCAACTGGACTTTGTTTTTTTCTTTGAAAACATTTCGCTTTTTATCTAAGAAACTTCTTCAGTTCTAACTGAGTTCTCTAAGTTAGAGAACTCGGTTAGAACGGAAGAAGCTTCTTGGATGAGAAGCGAAACGTTTTCAACCCACCCCCCCCAAGAAAGTCCAGTTGCCTTTTGGAAAAAGCACCTTTGGGACAACCATGACCTGGATGATTGAGAATCTCCATAGACATCACAGAAGATGTTGCTTCGCAACTACCTTCCAGCTTAGTAAAAGGGAGTGGCACCCACAAATCGGCTCTTGGAGTGTGGCTGGGTTTGGACAGCTGCGAAAAGGCCGGGCTGAGCATATGGGGGAGAAGATGGAGGGGAACGGTTGACTGTTCCCTACCTCATACTCCTTCCGCTGCTCCAGAGCCTTATGAATCCATTTCAGCCTTTTTTTGTCTGAGAGCTGAGACCATTGCTTGCTCAATGCTTCTTTCACCTCCTTCGTGGTGGCCTGAAAAACCCAGGTGGGGAGGGGGAAATAAAAAAGGTAGGTTCAAAGGAAAAAATGGGGGAAGGGGAGGGAGCACTGCTCACCCTAGTGGTACAGCAGTGAATTAAACTAAACTTTGGGAAAGATGAATTCGCTTTATGGTTTTTTTTAAACAGCTTTTTCTTGATCCTGCAGGGAAGTAAAATATAATTTGCTGCATATGCAGAGAATCCATTATGAGAATTCTGAAGAATTCTTGGCTTTAAATACGTATTTAAAAAGGTTCCAAGCACATGTAGGCCATTTGTAATGGTTTTATGACTTTGCTCTCTTTCCATCCTTCTCTTTCTCACCAAAAGGAGCACTGTCTGGATAATGTTAATTATAGAAACTAATATAAACAGCAAGCAAATACTACAAACACTAAGAGCAGCATATCACACTCAACATTTATGAAGTCTCTGCACACCTCCAAGAGTTCCCTTCCATGCCTCCAACAAAGATGGGAGTTAGTGACCCACGGGACTTTTTGTGGTGATCTCTCTCTGGTCTCATTCTATTTATAATTCTATACAAATCTAACATTTTAGAAGCCATTTGTAAGTGTGACCTTCATCATCTTGTGGCCATGAGTTCCATGAATGAACTCTTGATAGCACAAAAATGACTCTTTGTCTATCCTGTATATTTTGCTCATTTGTACTAGATGACCTTCAACCTTTTTGTTTCAGAAGAAAAAGTAAATCAGAGGCTGGCTATACTCTAAAAGGGCACTTGGGACTACTTAAATGAATTGCAATTAAAAAAATGCCCCCTGGATTGGGCTGGATTGGGCTATTTGAGGAGGAAGTATCTGAACATGCAATGGCAGTTGGAGCTGAAAATGTTGCCAATCCCTAGAGCAGCGGTTCTCAACCTGTGGGTCACGACCCCTTTGGGGGTCAAACGGCCCTTTCACAGGGGTCGCCTAAGACCATCGGAAAACACATATTTCCGATGGTCTTAGGAACTGAGACACCGCTCCTCTATCCGTCTCCGCACAGCTTCGAGCTGGGGGCCGTTGCAGTGCCGGATTCGTTTCCGTCGAGCATCTCCTAAGGGAGGCTGCGCTGCTTCGCGGCCCTTTCCACAGAGGAGACTGAACTAAGCTCTGCCGGCGCTGTCGCCCTCTTGGCTCTCTCTCTCGCTCTCTCTCCCTCTCCCCGCCTGGGCGCTTCTCCAACCAGGCTGGGCGGAGCCGGCGGAGCGGCCTTTCTGCCCCCCCTCCCCGGCCAGCTGGAGCCGGGCAGGCCGGCGACCTTCGGAACTAAGGCGAGGACAGGCGAGGCGCGCTGAGCCCCGGGCGTGGCGGGTGAGTGGGCAAGCGTCGGTGCGCGCTTGGAGAGTCCTTAGGGCTGGGGGTCACCACAACATGAGGAACTGTATTAAAGGGTCGTGGTATTAGGAAGGTTGAGAACCACTGCCCTAGAGTAAACCATCTGTATTCACTACCCCTGTGTGCCTCCCACACCACCTTCATCTCAGACTTATAAAGGTAGAGCTACTTACATCGGGTCGGACTTTCAGGTAGATCTTCTTTTCGTGAGTATACCAGAGCTGTTGGGGGGTCTTGGGTTTTTCTGGAATATCAGATTTCTTGGCATTCTGAATGAGGTCAGGGTGGTCTTCCCTTCACAGAACAAGGATGGTAACAGAGAATGGAAAATGTAAGGTATCACCATACTGGAATTAACAAAACACACTTTCATATAAACCTAAGGCCCTATGTACCAGTCCCCACTCTTGAATACCAAGAAATCCCCAGACTGCAGGATGAATTCACCTGTAGGAGAATCTTATTTTGTCTCCATAAAAAAATGATCCCTCACAATCCTCCAAACATGGAGAAAGAGGGTTGTGGGTCTCCCTTCCAATAGTCAACTCCAAGCCTGACCTTCTTCATTACCTCCTCCGTCTCTCATTTTAAAGAGCTGTTAATCATTTGACAAAATGCCAACATCCGTGCTTGCCACAATTACATGGAGCCCCCACTCTTGCTCTAAAAACTTCTAACAACAAAGAGTAAGACAGGGACATGGCAAAAAGAAAAGTGTGAGGGCAAAGGCCCTATCCAGACATTCTTGGAGAGTCAACTGACATGGGTCTCTGGGTTGAATACAATAGTTCACCCAAAAAAAGTATACTGGCTGGCAATGAAGGTCAGCAAGAAAGAAAGAAAGGAGGAAGCTAAACAACTGGATAGGCCAGTTCAATTTGTTGTTGTTCAGTTGCTAAGTCGTGTCTGACACTTCATGATCCCATGGACCATAGCATGCCAGCCCCCCCCCCCCCCGTGCTCCACTGTCTCCCTGAGTCTGCTCAAACTCATGCCTACTGTGTCAATGACACTATCTAACCAGTTCAATAAGCCAGTTCAATAAGCCAGTTCAATAGCAATCACCCAACAGCAATGACCAATAGAAATCATCCAAGCAGCTGTTGTGCTAGATAATGGGACAAATTTCCTACATGATTCAGGTATTTCCCTTATCAAGAAACATTCTCCCTATGCAAAAACGAAAAGAGTTAGAGGAGGAGATTAAATTAAAAGAACAGGCTTTTATTTTAAATCCACTGGATAATAATTTAAAAGTATCTATAACTGTGCTTAAACATAATTTAATATGTTAATAGCAGATCAGACCGCAACTAGTTTAAGGTACATGAAATATAATACATTTTGTAATGCAAATAAACCTGGAAGGTGGTTGGCCTACCAACTACGAAAGAAGCAGAAGTCAAGAATTATAGAGAAAATAGATTATAATGGTAAAATGACATCTCAACAAAATTTGGTTAAAAAGAGTTTTTTGGATTTTTATTCTAAGTTATATGCTTCTGAAAATATACAACTTGAAGAAATAGATAATTATTTACAGCAGCCACATTTTCCTAGATTGTCAGATAATCAAAGGGAAAAAATGAATTGTTTAATTACATCTGAGGAGATTAAGGGGGCAATTAAGCAATTAAAAGTTGGTAAGGCACCAGGTACAGATGGATTAACAGCAATTTATTACAAGATGTTATCTGAAGAAATGATAGAACCATTAAGGGAATTGTTTAATAGTATTTTGTTGGGTGAAGAGGTACCTCCATCTTGGAGAACTGCTTTTATATCTTTAATACCAAAGGAGGGTCAGGATTTGACTCAACCTAAGAATTATAGACCTATATCTTTATTGAATACAGATTATAAGATTTTTTCAAAAGTATTGGCAAATAGATTAATGCAAGTGTTGAGCCAATTGATTCATAGCGACCAATCTGGATTTATAACTGGAAGATATATGAAGTATAATGTAAGACAAATTATTAATTTAATTGAATATCTGGATAAGAATAATCAAATTCCTGCTGCTTTTATGTTTTTGGATGGTGAAAAAGCATTTGATCAATTAGATTGGGGTTTTTTGTTTCAAGTTATAGACAGAATGAATTTTGGGGAAAAAATTTTGTCCGCTCTTAAGGCTATTTATCAACAGTAATCAGCACAGATTATAGTTAATGGGGGGGTAACAGAAGCATTTAAAATTGAAAAAGGAACCAGACAAGGATGTCCATTATCTCCATTGTTATTTGTGTTAACAATGGGGATTTTGTTAATTAAAATTTGTGAGTCTTCTATAATAAAAGGAATTAAGGTTAATAAGACTGATTATAGGTTAAGAGCTTTTGCAGATGACTTGGTGTTAACATTAACTCAGCCAATAGATTCGGTAATTGATTTGGTTGAAATTATTGCACAATATGGGAAAGTTTCTGGTTTTAAGGTAAATTGTAATAAGACTAAAATATTACCGAAAAATATGTCTATGAATGATAAAGATATGTTAGTTACGCTCACAGGCTTTGAAATGGTTAAAAAGGTAAAATATTTGGGAGTTTATATTACAGCTTCTAATGCTAAATTGTATAAGAATAATTATGAATCTTTATGGGTTAAGGTGCAAAAGGATTTAAGTGATTGGAAAAAATTACAATTATCTTTGTTGGGGAGAATTTCAGCAGTAAAAATGAATGTCCTTCCAAAATTTCTTTTCTTGTTTCAAATGATCCCTATCTTAAAAAAAGATGCTAATTTGGAGGATTGGCAAAAGGGTATTAATAAGTTTATTTGGGCGGGCAAGTAGCCAAGAGTTAAGTTTAAGATCATGCAAGACATAAGGGAATGAGGAGGACTTAAAGTCCCCAACTTAAAATTGTATTATGATGTGGTGGTTTTGACATGGATTAGCGATTGGCTAAACTTAACAAATAGAAATATACTTTCTCTTGAAGGATGGGATTTGTTATTTGGTTGGCAGGCATATTTAATTTATGATAAAAAGGTAGATAAAAATGTTAAGGTTCATATTTTAAGAAGTGCTTTATTACGAGTTTGGAAGAAATATAAAATTAAATTATAAAATTCCTATCTGGGCAATTCCAGGACAGGTAATAGAGGGGATATCTAGGGGAGTTAATTTGGATAAAGTTTCTTATAAGGAACTACTTTGTCCGGCAGGACGAGATTGGCAACTTAAATCTTTAGTAGATTTGAAACAAGAAAATATTGAATATTCTTGGTTTTATTATAACCAATTGTTAATGAGGTGGCGTTTGGACCAAAAAGTTGGTATTACTTTACAGGATGTAAATTTGATGAAACAGATTAAAGATCAATCTGAAGCTCATATTAAAAGAATTTATAATGCATTGATTGAATTGGATTCAGAAACAGAATTGGTTAAGGAGTGTATGATAAAATGGGCTCAAAATATACAAGAACCGATTTTATTGGAAACATGGGAGACAATTTGGATTAGAAATGTAAAATTTACTCAAGCTCAAAACTTAAGGGAAAATTTTTATAAAATGTTTTATAGGTGGCATTTGGATCCTCAAAAATTGTCCTGCATGTATCCTAATTTACAACCTAAGTGTTGGAGATGTGGAAACTTAGATGCAACCTCTTTTCATATTTGGTGGACATGCGGGAAGTAAAGGCATTTTGGATTAAGATATAGTGGAATATTCAAAATATTTTTAAGAAAAAGATAAAGTTTAAACTGCAGATATTCTTGCTGGGTATTATGGAAGATCTGGATACAAAAGAAATGGATTTGATGTTTAACTTGATAACTGCTGCAAGACTACTAGTAGCTCAATGTTGGAAAACGGAACGTTTGCCCACTATAGAAGAATGGTCACTTAAAGTCTCAAATTTAGCAGAAATGGCCAAGATTTCCGCTTATGTGAAGGACTATTCACAAGAAAGATATATTTTGGTTTGGAGAAGATGGATAGATTATATTGAGAGTAAATATGGGACTAAAAAGTTTCATTTGGTTTTTGAGTAAATCTTAGAGTATTAATGTAGTTTATATGTTATAATAGGTTACTTATTTTTATTTATAATTATTAATATGATGTTATAATTATTGTGTTTAATACTAGTATATTTGTTTAAAAGAGAGTTAAAGGATGTTATAGATTTGTTATTTTAATAGTTGATTAATGTTAGATAGAGTATGGTTATTGTATTGTTAACCCTGTGATTGGCTCTGGGAAGTGGGGGGGAGGGAGGGGGGAGTGGAAGGGTGGGTTTTGGGGAGGGGGGAATTATACTGTAAAACTTTTATAAAATTTTCAATAAAAAAATAAAAAAAGAAACATTCTGTAAATACAAATGCTCAGTAGATCCACTGTATTTGTCTGAGGTGTTTTTTTCCCCAGAAACTGAAAGTTTAATTACATGCTATACAGCAGGAAATGGAAGCTCCCTTCAAATCTGGGGAGGGTGGTGGCGGCTGTGCATTGTGGAAAATCTGGCTGGTCTACATTATCCTTTCCCAACTTTGACTCCTCAGCTGTTGTGGTCTATAGTTTTCACAAGTGCAAATAATGTCTTTATGTGTCTGCAAATGATGCAAGTTATAGTATAACATCTTTGGACTCCACATGAACAGCTGTTTAGCTAGATCTTTGGTTTAGTTCAACTTTTGTTTAGATCAGGGGTGTCAAACTCGCAACGTCACGTGATGTATCGCGACTTTTTTGCCATTGCCGGCAATGGGGTGGGCAGTTTCGCTATGATGCATCCAGCCCGTGGGCCGGCAGTTTGACACCCGATTTAGATGAATGCTTTAAAATATTCACATGGAAAATATTTACCTGCCTTACAAATACATATATTTATGGATTTTCTTATTCCATCACCTGTCTTTTAAAAATTGGGTTCCTATGCTATAGAACATACAATTTTTGAAGCCAAGGAATCTTCTACCTACACGCCTTCTTTCTATTCTCTCCTCAGTCACCTCTGAACCAAAGCAGCTGTCACAGTGAAGTTCAAAAGAACTTCAGTAAATGTGTACAACTGAAGTCTACAGCTGAGAAGCCTTAGAGTGCTAATGGACACAAGCAAGACATTGTTGCTTAAGGTCTCTTACCTAAATCTTGCCAGATTCCGCTCAAAGTCTTGTTTTTCTCGTTGGAAATCCTGAATATATTTCATCTAAAAAACAGAGAAAAGAGGAAAAATACTCCACAGCTGCTATTTATGTATGTGGTATCTATATGAAGTTCTTGCACACAAGCCCTCTCAACAGGGAGAGAGATTTCTTGACTCTTTATGCTGAATATCTAGTTCCCCTAATTCTATGTTCTGAAATCCCAGTTACATGGTCTGTGTGTGTACAAAATGCCTATCTTGTCTTCCACAGAGCCCTGTGACTGCTCCTTATCTGCAGGAATGGCATGAGAGGTTTAATTTCTTGGCATGCAGAGCTAAACTGTCCCAAGCAAGTATACTTCCATTCTGCCCTGAAGGTCAACTAGATGTAGAAAGTGAACAGTCTACCACAAACATCCCCCCTTATGCTATCATACTTTCTTTCTGGGTTCCAGACAGGACAAGGACCTTACGCTCTTCAATGTTGGAAAATTGGCAAAAAAAACAACAACAGACAATCTGGCAAATAGGCATCAACCATTTCCTGATTCTATCTAGGCAGGTCCCTTCAAAATACTAAGCAACTTTACAGCTGTAGCATCTTGAGTTCATAGCTCAGAGCAAGAACTGTGTGGATTTTAAATGCTCCTCTACTCAGAAATCTTTCCTGCAGTCAGCAAGGCTTATACAGGTTAAGTTTGTGGCACATTTGCATATACCAGTTCTCTAGAATATTATCTTGCTTTCCATTTTGTTAAGCAGAAACTCAGATAAAGGAGGCTTATGTTCATAAAGGTAAGGGTTGTTTTTTTAAAAAAAGCAAATGAAATAAAGCCAAACTCTTATGAGGAACTTCCTACTGTTTTCAGCACTAACACTGAGCTGACTCCACTTGTATCTTTCACTGGTTTCTGCATTTCTTTTATGATCAGGAAAGAGCTCTGTGCTGTTACCATTTAAAATAGGGATGCAGAAATTATGGCCCTGAAGTTCCATGCAGCCTATTTTTAGTGGCCCCAGAAGTAATAGGGCCAAAAATAGATTTTGAACTTTTGTTCTTTAGAGTTTCTTTTTTGTATATGGGTAATCCTTGCTTAATGACTGGTCACGTAGCGACCATTCTAAGTTACAATAGAGCTCCAAAAAGGTACTTGCAACCTGGTTGCAGAGTTCTGATGGCAGCATACCCCCCCCCCCCCCCGCCACTGCAGTCAGGAGATCACATTTTGGACACTTGGCAACCGGCTCATATTTACAGCCTTTTTCAAGGTCCTGCGGACACATGACCATGATTTTTGGTGGTTTTTGACAGTTTCCAGCAAAAAGCACCCATTGGATAAAATGGATTCGTTTAACAACTACAGCATTCACTTAATAACTGTGGTGTTCACTTAATGAGTGCTGCAAAAAAGTTGGAAAATTGGGCGTGGTCACATGGTGACCTGCTTAATGACTGCCATGACTTACAAATGTAATTCCAAGCTCAATTCCAGTTGTAAGTTGAGGACTACTTGTATAGTGGGATTTTAATAGACAAAAGAGGCACCTTGCAAATGCTTAGACATCTATATCATCTCTTAAAATTCTGCCACTCAAAATGAACCGTACAATACACCAGCTGATTTTTGCTATATAAAACATGGTGCAGCCCTCAAGCTATCAGAAGTTGTTCACTAAATGTCAAGTGGTGTCAATTCAGCAGGTCAGTAGAGTCAAGGTCCTTTAGTCACCCACTTTGCCACCCAGATATATAAAGGTTACAACCAATTCATGGGAGGGTTATTCTAGAACAGAAAGGAATAAAAACAGGCCCTTCACAAGGAAAGCATCCAGCTTTAAGCTCAAGATCCTAACAATCTGCAGCCATTATTAAACAACAGTTTAAAGAAATTGTCCTATAAACTCATTCTAAGGTTCATAATTTCTGCTTTACAATGGTAATACATTTGCAGAGCCCTTAAGAAAGGGAATACCCTTTTTGCAGAAAGCACAAGATATGTAATTTGTAGGTACTATGTTTCCCAAGAAGAAAATACTAGCTTTTTCCTTTCTCTTTCTCTTACTTGCATAGAGCTTTACTGGAAGTTACGGAAATCTGCCACTCTTGATACCCCTTACCACATTCTTAAATATGTACTGCTCACCTTTTTCTTTTCGGGGAGCTCCTTATATTTTTTTGAGAGAATCTTGGTTAGATCCAGATTGCTCATTTCTGGATGTAGCTTAGCATACTTTGCTCGCTTTTCCATGAAGAAACGGAAATATGGAGTCAAAGGTTTTTTTGGGAAGTCAGGATGCTTCTGAATAGGTGCAGGAGAGAAAGTAAATAAGGAAAAAATATTTTGAGATTTGTTTTCCCACAAAAAGCAAGGTTTTACTTAATCTTCTTGTGTGTTTTGTTTATAACATTTGTTTTCAATAAAAGTTGAGTTGAGCCAAGAATTTGGAATAAGGTTATAGCATATTTAAGTAACACCTTCAATTAAACTCAACCATGAAACTCCACTGATCTAATGTAAGCTTTATTTCAGCTTAACATCTCTATGTGACCACACACAGAAATGCAACTACTTCTGAAGATTCAGTTGCTTCTAGAGGAGATGGGCAGCACACAAATCAAATCAAATAATAAATAAAATATAAAGAATTTAAATGTCTGTCTGTCTGTTCTGTCATTGCTTTTTGTTATTGTTTTAAACTAGTTGTTCCTAGGCTGAGGTAGGTTACCTTTGTAAGGCAGGCCAGCAAACACTGAAGTCTATCACAGCCTTCCCAACCGTGCATCTCTTCATGGGCTGGGACTGTAACCACCAGAATTCCCAATCACTTTCCAACACATCTGGAAAGCACCAGGCTAGGGAAGCCCACTGTATGCTATCAAACACAAGTTGCCACCAACTGGTACCTTCAATTCCTAATTATTATTGCTACACATTATTAGATTTCTCTCCTTTCATTCAAGAGCTCAAGTTGACATGTATAGTGTTCCCCTCACTATTTTCCTACGACAAGAACCTGGCAAGGTAGGTTAGCCTGAGAGTGTGACTGGCCCAAAATCTCCATGTAAAGCACCTGTGGTATCTCCAATTCTAGGAAGACCAAGATTCAATCAGAGTTGGCAATATTAGACTAAATGAAACCAATCATCCTGGCATAAAGTAGTTCCTACATTCAAAATGCAACACTATAAACCTAAAGGTATGACTAGAATCCTGAATTTAACATTCATCATTAGTAGCGATGCAAGAAATTGGAAGTGTTCCATTAAACTGCATTTTGTTTTACAAATCATACAAAACATTTCATTACTGTAGAGCAGACATGTCAAACTCGCGACGTCATGTGACGTCGCGCAACGTATTGGGACGATTTTGCCATTTCCGGCAATGGGGTGGGCGTGGCTTCCGGATGACGCGTCCGGCCCGTAGGCTGGCAGTTTGACACCCCTGCTGTAGAGGCGCCAAGCTTCAGTGAGCATTGTAGGAATCCAAGGGCTGTTAATTGTAATACCTGTTAATAACTATGCCACTAGTCAGTCTTTCTTAAAAAATGGGATTGATAACTAGTTTTCCACTATCATTTCATAACCAATAAAGAAACGTGTGGCCCCTGGAAACTGCTTCTGGACTTTTTGCTTGAAACTGAAAAAAATGAAAATTTGATCACATAGAATTCCTTCTCTAGTCCAAATTGTGTTAATATGCATCAATGTAAAAAACAAAAACCGCCCCTTCATTTAAAGAATAACTGACACTGAATTGGACATGAGAACAGTTGATGGATTATAGTCCTACGCATGGACTTATACTGTCTCTGAGGTTTAGGTTTTAAAATACATCTTGTCTCTTTTGCCATAAAGATAGGTCTTCCAAATTTGATTGCCATTTTTATTAATTCTTGCTATTGACAACTTTTGTTAAATATTGGCCACTGATATATAAAATTAAATATAATAAGTTAATGTTTAATTTTATTTTATTTTTGATTTTAAACAGTATGTAGACCTCTTAAGTACTTTTTTCTATTTTTCTTGCCACAGTATTATATATTATGGTTTCTACTTTCCTACTATAAAAAGCAACATAGGAAAATATGAGGTATATTAAATAATCAAAGTATTACAAGATACATTGTTTTGTTATGTTCAGACCTTCAAGAAACTATGTCCCACTTATGTGGGCAGAAAAAGCAAGCAGCATCACAAAAAGAAAAAAAAAGTAACACTTACTTTGGGCTTTAGCCCTGTCACCTGGAAAAAGAATAGCCCTCAACTGTACAGCAAATACATAATTTCCTCTGAATGCTGTACTTTTAATTAAATACTGCAGCTTTTTAATGTTTGATGTCTAGGAATGTTTCCAAGTTTGCAGAGTGTGTATTTATTATTCATTATCCTTGCAAAACTGATAAAATAGATTTGTATGTATTCTTGTAATGTTCTAAGGAAAGCAGTCAGGTTGTCAGCAGTTCAGGCAGGCACAGTAAGGAATAGCTCCATCTGGATTCCTTCAGATTCAAGTAATCTGAAAATGACTTAAATCCAGCATGGAGACTGGGTTTGGAATAGCTGTGCCTTAAATATCTTGGATGCAATGTAATTGCCAATGGAGCAATTCAGTGAAGTTGTCTAAGAGAAGAGGTTTGGGTATACAGGGCTGCAGAAATTAAGCAGCAGATTCCTGTAACAGAGCCCATGATACATGCAAGACACTACGGGTGGAGCAAAACTTTTCAAGAACAATGTGATTTGCTATATTTAAGAACGATTTACAAGGAGGTCACATAGAAAGGAAATGTGTTTGAGGGGGAGGCAGTCTTTCAAATGATACATGATAGATGAAATGATAGAAGGTGTTGAAGCTACAGGAACCTTGGGAGGAAGTGATCATGCAATATTGGAATTCAACATTATGGAAGCACAAGCAATAGAACACAGTCAAACTAGAGTCTTGGACTTTAAGAGAGCTAATTTCAATAAACTTAGAGAGGGTTTGGGAAGGATTCCATGGATGAGAATCCTCAAGGGGAAAACTGTTGGCAGAAATTCTAGCCCGCTAAATAATACCATACAGCAAATTGAAATTAAACAGAGATTTATTGGATACAACGGTTTGCAAAGCGTGGTGGACTCCAAATATTTGAGCCACCCCTTTTCACAGTAAAAGCACACACTTTATACATTCTATCGCGACGCCTTTGTCCCTCCCCTATGGCCTCATTGGCTGGGCTTTAGAGGTTACAATCTTATCAGGATCGCCTAAACAAAATACATTATCCCTGCCCCTACTAAACGTTTCATTTTGCTTCACCTATTCCCTTATATGTACTTTAACATGAACCAGGAAATCCTATAGCTTATGTGTGGAAACCCTATGGCTTACGTGTGGAAATCTTATAGCTTACGTGTCACTTAGCTTCACTCATATTCTAAAATTTTATTCCTCACAAAACAACTCAAGAAGCTTGGGAAATTTTGAAAAGTGAGATAATAAAAGCCCAGTCTCACAAATCCACCCTTTTCCTATTTATACTTAATTAAATTTTAGAATCTTTTTAAATTCATTTCAATTTCTTTTTTGTGTTCATTCTCTATTATGTTTACTTTTTCTGTAATTTCTTTGAAAGCTAATGGTGTCTGTATCTTTTCCTCCCGCTTGATACCATCCATTATACTGGTTACAGTCGTATGGACTAGATTTTTAATCATGGGAATTAAACAGGGCAAACACATTAGTCCCAATAGTATTACACCTACCATAAATAATGCTTGTTTCCAATTGCGAAAAATTCCCCCCAAAAATCCCCCTTCATCTAAAAGACCAGTCCAAGTCTGGACTGGAACATGTACAAGTTATCTCATTTCAGTGGTTAATTGCTTCACCACTGTACCTGTTTCATCTATTTGTAAGCAACAATTAGTTAAATTGAACTTCCCACATACCCCTCCTTCCTTAGCTAATATATAATCTAATGCTAATCTATTTTGATACACAGCCACTCTAAGCTTATCAGTAGTTTTTGCTAAAATATTTAAAGCAGTATCTATTTTTCTTCCAGCTAATTCTAATACAGCCTGTAATCTTATTATTCTGTTTAACATATAAATGGGCGTTCTATATCCCCAAGATCCATCTTCGGCCCATGTAGCAGGCCCATAGATGCACACAATCTTTTCTGGTGTCCATTCATTTCCTCTCATTGTTTCAACATTACATGATATATCTGAGTCAATAGATCTTTTATAGTGTTTTAAATTATCATAAATAGGAATCCCCAGTGTCTGTTTAGTTCTTAGAGGTAATAAAATAAGATGGTTTGATCCATCCAAAAACACATGACCCACCCCAGTTACTAGGCAAACTTTCATAGGCTTGGTTACCACAAATCCAATACATATTCTTTGGGGCTATCCATGTGCTGTCATCTGTTTTATTTAAATAAGTTCCCCATTCAGTGAAGTTAAATTTTTCTGGTTCACTTTGATTCCCTACACTTGTCCATCGCTTATATTTATCATCCCAATATCCCAAACATATCAAATATCCTACCTTTTTAGTTCCATTTCTTTTAAAACAGTTTTTTCCTACTAAATTAGTACTTAGGGTCCATATAATCTGTTGGTCATTTCCAGATCGCCCCGTAATATTTCCTTGTTTAGTCATGTTGTTGAATATCACTGGGTCTGCTTCTAATGCTTCCCAAGGCCACTGTTGTCCCATATTAGTCCCTCCACATACAAAACAATTTTTAACTGTCAAGGTTTTGGCTATATCTTCAGCCATATCCATAAACAAGTTACTTGCTTTCTCACTAATATCTATTTTCTTTTCCAATTGTCTTAAAGTATTGTAAACCGACCATCCTATGGTTTTAACTTCCCCTGCATATATCTTTTGTTTCTTCATAGTAATATAAGTTAATGGATCTGATCCTGTACCATCTATCCCAAATCCATAACTTACCGCCCGGCCTCCCTCTTCAGGGTGACCCGCTCTCTCCTTCAATTGAGGGAGGGGGGGGATCCCCTGGAGGGGAGGGCCGAGGACTTTGCGCAATATCTGTATGACAAAGTCGCTCGGATCCGAGAAGGTCTGGACTCTGGGTGGCCCCGGGGGAGGATACGGGAGCAGGTCTTGAGACTGTTGTATGGGAGGAGTTTGACTCTGTGGCTCCCGAGGACGTGGACAGGATCTTGGGGAGGCTGAATGCAACCACGTTTACTGGATCCGTGCCCCTCCTGGCTGGTGCTGGCGGCTCGGGAGGGTACACGAGCCTGGCTCCAGGGAATTGTAAACGCTTC